GCCCAGGCTTCATGCATGCTGCCAGTCTCTGAACTCGTCTGTGTGCCAGTCCTGTTGTGTCTGAAGACGCTGTTTCCTCAGAGTCATTCAGCAGTCACCTCAGGCTCTTCACAGTCTTTCTGCCTCCTCTTCTGCATAGCCTTGAGGGGAGAGGGTTGATGATGGAGAAAAGACAGCATCTTCAACAAACAGTGCTGGTCAAACTGATGGCTGCTCATAGAAGAATGCAACTAGAATCCTACTTATCACCCACCCTGCACAAAGCTCACCTCCAAATGGATCAAGGGCCTCAGCATAATAAAGATACCCTAAACCTAGTAGAGGAGAAGTCAGAGATCAGACTTGAACTCATTGGCACAGGAAAGGACTTTCTGAACAGGACACTGATATCATAGGCACAAAGACTGACAGTTAATGCACAATTCCTTATGAAGCTGAAAAGCTTCTATATGGCAAAAGACACAGTCAGTTAGGCGAAGTGGCAGGCTGTGGAATGGGAAAAGATCTTTACCAATTGTAAATCAGAGGGTTAGTTTCTCAACTTACAAAGAACTAAAAAGGCAGAACACCAAGAAAACAAATAGCCTAGTTTTTAAAATGGAGTACAGAGCTAAGTAGCTAGTTCTCAAAAAAAAAAAAAAAAAAAAAAAAAAAAAAAAGAAAAGAAACACAAATGGATAAGAAACACTTAAAGAAATGTTCAGCATCCTTGGCAATGCAGGCAATGCAAATTAAAACTACTTTGAGATTTCATTTTAGCACAGTCAGAATGGCCACGGTCAATCTGTCAAGACTGGAGAGTGATGGGAACATGTTTCCATTGCTGGTGGGAGTGCTAGCTTGCATAGTCACTATGGAAACCAGTGTCATGGTTCCTTGAGAATCTGGGAATAGATGTACGTCAAGATTCAGCTATACCCAAAGGACTCAACATCCTACTACAGAGATACTTGAGCTATGGTCATTGCTGCTTCATTCATAATGGCCAGAATTTGGAAACAGCCTAGATGTCCATCCACTGATGAATGGATCAGGAAACTATGGCACATTTGCACAGTGAAATACTATTCAGCTATTAAGAAAAATGAAATCATTAAATTCACAGGTAAACGGGTGGAGTTAAATAACAAAACAAAACAAACAAATAAAACAAACAAAAAAAACCATCACCCGAAGTGAGACAACCTAGATCCCCAAAGACAATATTTTCTTTTTCTTTATATGTGGATATGTGGTTTTAAGTCTTTGATTAGCATTCTATCATACAAATAACCATGGTGGTTAGGTACCTGGTAAAGGACTAGGGAAGGGATGAGCATCTCCCAAAAAAGGTCTTTCATAAATGTTTGGCTTTACAGGTGCCAGGCAAGTGCGCTTATTGCTGAGTTCCCGAGCTCAAGCTGAGGAGGAGAAACTAGGAAAATTAATAGGTGTAGAGTTTCTTCTTGGGATCATGCCAGTGCTCTAGACTTGCAGGTGGTTGTGTAAGATCAATATACTTAACACACTGAATTTTATATCCAAGAATGATAAAAGTTATTTCTGTCATGAAATTCAAGACAGTAAGAAAAATCCTCCAAAAGCACAGGGCACATAGTGTATTGCATTGTATTTACCCTGCAGTCCTCAAACCAGGAATCTGGGTTTACCTGAGGGAGTTCAGGGTTCCTTGTCCTACTACAGAAAGATGCTGGAAGGAGAGTGTCACTTAATTGTTCAAGGAAAAGTCCCTATCAGTTTTAAATGATTAATGCTCTGGAGATCATCAGAGTTAGCAATAAGATAGCATATAAAATTCTATACCAATCTAGAATTTAAAAAGTGTGTCTTCTACATCTACATAGTGGGTATTTAGGGATGCACACACCTTGCCTAACAAATGAGTGCGGCTATGGGTGTAAAATGAATGGTGATAGTCTGATACATTGCTCTTGGGTACAAGTTAGCTGTGAGTTATTTTGATACAGCAAAAATAAGCCAGAATAAAAGCTGTAAATGTCTTCGTATTTTGGTACTTATACAAAGTCTTCAGATATAGTCTATAAATTTACTTCCTTGAGACAGTCTTCCTGCCTTAAAAAAAATCAAATTGTATTACTTAACTCTGATGCAAAGAACAATTTAAAAGTAATCTTTGCTGTTCAGCTACTGGAGTCTCCCAGGAGATATTAGTAGAGACTTCAAGGCAAATAACTATTGCATTTCTCCGTAATGCCTTGCAAGATCCACAGTGTTTGCTTTAGGTAAGCAGGGCATTTTTCCAGTATAATTTCATATACTTTTTCAAGTTCATATCACACTTCTCCTTTTTTCAAGTCCAAAAGAACAGTTTCTTATTAAACTTCCACTATTAGAAAGTTGGGTTTGTGGCATGTATACCCATTGTATGTACTGGGTTATTTTATTCTTCATGTTCCTGAAGTGTACCATGACAATTGTCTGGACTTGTCACGACTGAAGAGTGTAGTCCTTGAAGAGCAGCAATGCTGTAGATGGGCCCAGGCTCTAGACCTGTCAAGTCCCTTCATTGTATGACCAGGGAAGACATTTGGCTCTGTGTGCTTCATATAGTTTATTCATCTGTAAATTGTTGCTAACAATGCTATTTACTTAGATAATTATTAGAATAATATGTTAACAGTTATTAAAATTATCGCTGTGTTGGCCTATAAAACCCTATTTAAATTATTGTGGAATATAAATAAATTACGCAGCATCATGTACTTTGTGGTTTTATTTATTTTTTCCATGTGCAAAAACTTATTTTTGTGAGGCTGGAAATGGTATTCCAACACTCCCAAGGCTGAGGACAGGAGGGCCACAAGTTCCAGAGCTACTGAGAGACAATAGAAATATGTTTTTGTGCGTGCTATTAAAGTGTCAATAGTACTGATTTATTGGAAATTAAATTGAAGGATTATAAAGGTAGCTCAGTGGATAAAATGTTTGCCCCATAAGCATGAAAATCTGAATTCAGATTCCCCAGAACCCACATAACAGCAAAAACTCAGCAGGCGTAATGGCCATGTATAATCCCAGAACCCAGGAGGTAGGGGGAGTTCAGGACAAGCTAGCTATCTGAACTTGGTGAGCTACAGGTCCAGTGAAAGAGGCTGTCTCAGTAAATGAAGGGAAGAGGGGTGGAGAGAAACAACTGACATCAACTCAGGGCCTCTACACTCATGCCCGGGTGTAGTGTGCATGCATGAACACCACACACATATACATGTGTAAAGCTTCACAGAAGTTGCTGTTCACTGTGTCATTCCTGATGCACTTTCCACAGAACCTAGAATATCCCCTACTTCCCGTGGACTAGTGGGTTTTGATCAAGCACCTTAGTATATTTGCTTCTTGCCTTACATAAGAAGGGACGCTTTCCCATGGCAAAGGTATCAGATCAATCATTAAGACTTCACCGGCACTTGAAATCATAATTAATCCATATAAATTACCCTAGTGATATTAAGAAAATAATTTATATAATCTGTGATGTGAGAAATCAGTTGTTTCATTATTCATCAACCATTCTGGAGTTTTGATTTAATTTAGTTTGTTGTGTATTATTTTACTGCTCTATTAACTTAATGATTGGTGCAATTATTTATAGTTTGTGATATTAGGTAACAGATTTAGTAGGTGTTATTATTCATGATAAAATAATGTTTATGGATATTATGGAAAATTCTATTTTAATTTGAATGCTGTTTGCAGGTTGATTATAATGAATTCTTTTTCTTTCTCTAAGATTCACAAGAAACAACTGTAAATTTAATTTCCCATTCATATAGAAGTATCCTAATTCTCAGCATTGTTGCACATAGAACAGACAGCTAGCAGGTCTTACCCCTATCTTTGCTTCTTATATGTTCACTTATGATGCTGACTAGAGGGTTCCAGTGTCCAAGGAAGGACATGAATCAGCTGACACTCTCTTGTCACTTACTTCTCTAAGACCACAGCTGATTACTTCTATTGTCACTTCTGCCATTGGGAATCCATCATAGATGTCTTTGTCCTAACTTTACAATACATTGCTCGACTCGTTACTGCGACAAAGGCTTATTTATATACTATGGTTAATTTCCATTTATATTTATGGATTTCCTTGGCCTTTCAACTCTAGACCTAAAGATTAGACCGGCCAATCTATTGAGAAGATATGGGTACCCAACTCATATGTAATTACCCATTTTCAAAGCTTGACATTGAAAACAAACAAACAAACAAGCAAGCAAACAAACAGAAGTCCCAGTTTCTTGGCAAATTGGTCTGAATTAGCACATAAATTTACTTGTTGTCTTCTTTTATTAATTCACATATTTATTATGTAAAAACTAATGTTTTGTTTATAGAATGCCAGCATTTTGACGAATAAATACACATGTTGTGGGAAACACACACAATCATGTACATATACTCTCTTGTCTTTCTAAAATCTATGGAAAATCATATATTTGGAAATATATTTGTCTTCATGGCTATATCAATCTGTAACCATAAACACTGGTCTAAGAATACATTTTCCAATTAAAAATGGTTTAGATTAACTAGTTAGAGTGAACCAATGAGACATTATAAAATTAGGATCCATAGTTTTAATCCTTAAAATAAATGCTATTATTAATGTGGGTTGCCAAATTCTCCATCAGTAAAAGGCTAAAGATTTGAGGTGCTAAAGTGTCTAATTCTTGTTTCGAATGTTAAAGAGATATTTGCCTGGCTCTACATGTTACCAACATGTGAAACAACAAACAGCCATGTGATGTCTGAATGGAATGATGATAGAATGTCATAGGATATTAATTTCATATGTTGCGAATGTATGTGTCCAACTTCCTGAAGTTTTAACCTTAAGATAAATTTTTTTAATGAATTTATTGTTGTGATAGTCACAGTTTCCGTTAAGATTGGTAAATAATTAGTCATATAATCCTTTCATGAATGGCATTGACTTTACAGTTTTTGCAGCAATCTAATTTTGTAAATACCTTTTTTAGGTATTTGCTACCAGGAAGTGCCCAATTCCTCATGAGATCACCGCTGTACAACATGAAGTATAATTCACCTGGAATGACTCGCTCCAATGTTTTGTTTACATCCCGATATGGCCATTTGTGAGACTGAATGGAAGATTACCATGGGCTATGGATAATAGCAATTAACCCATTTTCTCCAGTTGAACCTTAAGGAAGTGACCCTTATGTGCTGTTTTATTGTATATATGTCATATAAGTGTGTAGAATACATACACACATGCACTCAAGTAACATAAATATATATATTTATTATGTGTAAGAAAAGTTAGCAGAAAACTGAATATAAGATTTAACCTTTCTGGAAATGTAATAAACCATGTTAAAGTTGTTTACACAAATATGCAAATGTGTAGAATTTGCTAGGTTTATACTTAATTACTTCCTACTAGAAATATTATTTTTGCTGCAGAGTGTATAAAGCAGAATTGATCTTGAAGATCCCATCACAGTGTTAAATTATTTTCTAGATAACACAGCTTTGACTTCAGAAAGCACTAATAGTATCTCATTAATTCTCTCACTCATTGTAGATATTTAACAGTGAAACACAAGAGACTTAGAGCCCTGGGGTTGGCTTGATGGTAGGATTAGGATAAAACGGCATTGTCGTTATTATAGCACATTGTAAAGTACTAGAAGATATCCTAGCCTGACTTTCCAACATTTTATTCCCCATGCAGAAATTTAACTACTTGATCTAGTGTATATTTTCAATAAAGATCAGATAAGATCATGGTGTGATCTAAAATGAGCGACAATCCAGTGGGGTCCAGAACAAAATGTAAACTTGCTTTAATTTGGATTTCCATGGGGAGTCACATTAAAAAAAAAAAAAAAAAAAAAAAAAAAAAAAAAACAAGGCGATGGTTACGATAGAGTCTTAGCTGTGTAACTCTGTGTCCCACTTTTCTTTGGAGAAAGTAAATCATTGATGGGTTTAAGTATCTCAATGTTGAGACCAGTTTACCTTTCAAAGTCTAATAATAGTAGTTTCTCACCTCAGAAAATATTGTAAAGACCCTCAAGAGGAGTCTACACTGATCACATGTCACTCACTATTCATTGGCTGATGTGCCTGCCCTGGATGGAGTCTTTTCTTTCTTCCATGTTCAATATGGCTTTGTCTTTCTGTCCAAAGGCATCGTGCATGTATTTCATAGCACCATACTCCCATGCTTGTAGTTTGAAAACCACTGTGTGTGCTTTCCATTTCCCAGACAATTACAGACAGCACAGTCATGGGTATTTTAACTCAGCAAGTGTAATATTTGCTCAAACTTCCCTCCGAGGGTTTTACTCACAGATGCTAAGTACTTGGAGAACTCAAGGTTGTTTACCACCATTTTATATCGCAAAGTCTATTTCCAGTAAATGAAGAAATGACTCCAAAACGGCAGTAGTGAGGAGAGCTCATCTGTTTCAAATTCACTCAGAGTTGGGTCAGTGGTAACCCAGAGATGTAAGGTGCATATGCATTTCATTTTTCAAACCACCTTTGGAGAGTATATTTTTTCCTGTAATGTTCACTTCATACACAGATTGCTGGCAGCCCCTTTACTTCTGTATGGCTACCTACCACACACATTCCATCAACGACTTTTTCCACAGAATTCTGTCTTGTGTTTTCAAAGGAGAACAAAGGAAGAAAATGAGAGTGTGATTTAGGAGGCCATACTGTGAATTCTTCAGTATGGTATATATTTCTTAAAATAAGACATGCAAATATTGAAACATTATAGAATTTTTATGGGAATAATCAACAGATCAATCAATTTTATGGTTTATTTGTACTTATTTTTGTTTTTGATTCATGATTTAAAAATCATGGAGAAATAAAAAAACATAAAAGTCATGGGGATATGTTCTAAAGTGATTGGTAAGTGATACCAACCCAGTTTGTTGGTCATTCACTTTATCTTAAATCACAGATGATTATTTAATTAGATAGAGTGTATGCTTTGGAACTTCTGCCTTATACAAGAATGGAATCTTTATTTAAAAACCAATGAAATTGGGACAATCCAACATTAGAAATTCTCACTCTGGAAACACACATTAAAAACCAAGAGTAAATTTAAATGCATAGAATCACCAAGTATTTGGTGAACAAATATCATTTCCCCAGCTACTCAAGCAAGGCCTTATTTTAAACACTAGGATTTCATTGCCTATATTTTGCCATTTCAACTAGCTGGACACGATGAAGTTGTGCAGAGAGCCATGTGCTCATTACTTACATGCATTACCTGGTGTGCTGTGGATTGTGGTTGTCATAGCACCATCCCCTAATGAGCAGCTATAAGACATGATAATGAGCCATGCAGGTCTCGGGAGGCCACAGACAGGTATTAGAGGTATAAAATATTCCCTAGTTTTTGTTATCAATTTCTTATGTGTATGGTTAAAACATATCTGCATAAGAGATAATGTAAACCTCTCCTTCATAGTAAAGAAAGAAAACTTCAGAAACTACTTAATCTCATCAGTTTTTTTTTTTTTTTAAAGAATGGATTTTGGTTTACTTACAAGGGTAGAGTGTAATTATAGACAGGCCATCCTAGTCATTTGGTTCATCCTAAGTTTGGAATGCTTCCCCCAAACTGTAAGATATGAATATTTTCCAAATTGTCCAAATAGTAACTTGCTTATTTTATGTCATTTAAAGTCACAATTTAGTTTTCACTTGAATAAGACACCCTTTTGTCTTACTCTGTCTCAATTCATTTTAATTTGCATGAATTTTATTTTGTTAGATTTAATTTATCTTTAATATGTGCACATAAATTTTTATATGATGCCCAGTATTTAGCAACTCTACTGTCTCTAAGGATTTGCCTAAATGAGATCAAATCACCTAGAGTTTCCATGATTCCTCATCTCTAGAGTTAAAACAAACCCAACCAAACCAAACCCTTTCTTTTTCCTAATATTTATGCACACACAGAAAATATATGGCTCCTAGACTTCCAGAAAATGATTCCATTCCATTTTCTCTTTAGCTTGGAAAATAGATTGAGTATAGGATTATGCTGATTTCACATGTTTGAATATAAATTTAATGGTTTCTTTAACATGTCAATGTCATTCTATGTAAACATTATCTTCAAATTTAAACATATTCAATATACACTATTCAAAATACCAAAAAGATAGCTGAATACATGTCATTATTTAATCTCCTATAAAGCACTGATTCATTCTTAAATATATATATACATACATACATATATATATGTATATATATATATATATTCTTTAAAAGATAGTAAATACCTCAAGAGAGAAAGGAAATCCCTTCCATTTCTATTTAGCAATGCTAATTTGCATTCAGAATCTCATGCACTTGGTTATGAGGATTCACCACCAACAAAAAGTGTAGCTGTACAATTGTGTTACTGTGGGTTGGTGATTTGGAGGCATTTGCTCTTCTCTTTAAATTGAGAGGGTCAAGTATAAAGGGCCATGTTGTCTACACATTGATTATTAGATATTTAATTATTTTCTGGCTAATGTTGGCTTGTAAATAAATGAAAACTATAAAAATATATTCATAAAGAAATCTTGATCCCTCACATTGCTTCCTCTCTCCTATTTTCATTCTTCTAATTCCCATTAAAGCTTTAGATATGCATGAACAAAGTAAAGGAAAAGAGAAATCTTGCCTTTTAACCATTGGTCTTCCTTGAATTCTTATAGTGGTGTGTTTTCTTTCCCAAGAAACAACAAAACTTCAATGAAATATTGGGTCAAGCTTGGTTTGCTGAGAACTTTAGGAACAAGGTTGAGGCCTGTACTCCTAAAACACATGAAGTCTCTGTTAAGTGTGAGACACACATTGACAGCTTAAAGGAAAAACTGACTTGTTGAAATAGCACACATTGAGATCACTGCTAGTTTTGAAGATCTGCCGTGAGGTGGTGTATGATGTATTGGAAAGAATGTACTCAGGTAAACATTGTGATGCTGAGGGTGTATCAGCTAGAAATGCATAATACTTCTACTTTACCACTACCTGTGAACTCGAAAGCTCTTGTCTTGACAAACACATCACTCAACAGACTAGCCAGTCTTAATCAGCAAGAAGGCTTGCCTGTGAAAAGGTCAGATGCTTATTCTGTTTCTATTGAAGGCTAACAGCCATCTGGTCCTCAAGTTCATATAACAATGCCTGTACATGGCAACAGCATCTGAATTTTAATGGACTTGCAGAGGAGTCTGGATTTGACAGTGAGAGAATTACATGAATGGTGGATCAAATTACCCCTGTGTGCTTTACTTCCTGTATATGAATACAAATGTTACAGAAGATGCACCTGAAATGTCAACAAAATGTGCAGTTGGCATTGCCATGGCATGCTCTAGCATGTGACACCTGTATGGAGAAATTACTTCAATTACTCAGATATGTTACTATAATAAAAATGTCAACACAAGAAAACTAAGATATGTCATCATTTGATTCATTTTTACACATGTACACTACACACACGCGCGCACACCCACACCCACACCCACACCTACCCACCCACCCACCCACACACACACACACACACACACACACACACACACACACACACTGATTTCAGTAGGAGCAAAGAGTAGCACCCAGTTAAGCAAAATGAATTAAGCTTTCACCTTAACGAACATATTTTCACAGTAATTTTTGCTGCTGTGCAGCACCCTTAAGAGAATAGTGCTATGTGCTATTAAGAATCAGCCCAAGAAAATAGAATTGTTGTTGACTTCTCCTCACTGAGTGGAAGACAAAGTGTTAAAGTTAGTGGCAACAGTTTAATATGATTATATATTATATTATCTCAGGAATGAATTTCATGTTTTAGAAGTACGTGTTAGCAATATTCAAAGTTTCGAAATGAATCACATTTTAGTCTTGTTGCTGTCCATCACAAGGTCTTTTTTATAACAAATTTCAGATCGTTTCCCTTTTTTTTTTTTTTTTTTTTTGATATGCTGAAGAAGGAATTGAAAGCCCCATGCATAATCATCAAGGAGCCTAGATTGACTTTTAGACCACGTGGGCTTTCTTTAAAAGGGAGGGGGCATGTTAAAGAAAGGGTCCAGTCACAGCCAGGGAGTGGGTAGTTTATCACAGATAGCCCTAAGCTTTGTAACTGACAAATGATATAAAAATGACTGTTTATGTGCATGTAGCATACTTGTATGTGTGTGTTTGTATGTGTGTACATGAATGTGTATACCTATGATCTGTGCGTTTGTGTGTACTATATATGTATGTGTGTGACTGTGTGTGTGTGTGTGTGTGTGTGTGTGTGTGTGTGTGTGAGCTTCCCCACACTCCTGTGGAGGCTGGAGAAGGTATCATCCTCCTTCCTTGTTCTGCATCTATTCCATGAGACACGCATGGTCTCTCAGTTACTCTTAGCTCATCATTTGTAGCTAGGATCCCTGGTCAGTCAGTCAAAGGGATCATCCTGTCTGCTCCCCAACAGTTGGGGCTAAAATAGGTTATCTACCAATTTTATCAAAGAAATAATCATAAATTATACACATGCAATTCGTATACATAATTCATTTTAATTAAAGGTCTGGAAATCTTTAATTGTAAAATAAAATATCCTGGAATAATTTATGGATTTAGAAATCATTTTCAAAAAAAAAAAAAAGAACAATCTTTGTTTTTAAGGAAGATAATAGAATTTTAAACTAATTTTCTTTTGGAGAGTTGTCTTTTGTAGTTTTGTATTTGTT